TGTATGTATGTATGTATGTATAACTTTATTGTCATTGTACGTGTATAAACAGTATACCCATATAACAAAATTCATTTAACACCCAGAGACCAGATCCAACACACATAACAATCCCCAAACACACTCCCACCACCACAAATTCCCGACCCCTAAACCATCCAAACATCCACACAACAGACCAAGTAATGCTGTCCAACAGCACACTGATGGTGGCCCTTTAGTATATTGTTGAGTGCAATTATAGCTCTGGGATAAAACCTATTCAGAAGACATGTGGTCCAAGTTTTAATTGTTCTGTATCTTCTGCCTGAAGGCAACAGTCTAAAAAGATTGTTAAGTAGGATGGGAAGAGTCTCTGAGAATGTTATGCAACTTCCCCAAACAGCGAGATTCGAAGATGTCATTCAGGGCTGGTAGTTGATATTCCGATGATATTCTGGGAAGATTTAGTGATTCTCTGTAGAGCTTTTTTGTCCAGTACAGAGCTGCTCCCATACCATCCAAGAATGCCGTATGTCAGGACACTCTCAATGGTGCAGCGATAGTAGGACAGAAGTAGATGCTGAGATAGATTTATCATCATGGCTTATCTTGTTTTTAACTGACTGATGAAAAGTAAAACATTTTTGGAAAAAGCAACTTTGGGACAACCATGACTTGGATGATTGAGAATCTCCAAAGACAAATTATTTTTATTTTTTAAAAACAAAAAATAAAACAGGCATAAGTTGAAAAATTATTATTTTTCAACTTACGCCTGTTCTCCCATATTGATTCCTTTGTAAGTCATCTGAAAATTGCAGCAGAATGCCCAAGACAGAGAGATGGTTCAAAGCAGTGGTGAAATCCAAAATTTTTTACTACCGGTTCTGTGGGCGTGGCTTGGTGGGTGTGGCAAGGGAAGGATACTTCAAAATCTCCATTCCCACCCCACTCCAGGGGAAGGATACTGCAAAATCCCCATTCCCTCCCCACTCTGGGTCCAGCCAGAGGTGGCATTTGCTGGTTCTCCGAACTACTCAAAATTTCCGCTACCGGTTCTCCAGAACCTGTCAGAATCTGCTGGATTTCACCCCTGGTTCAAAGGTTCTTCACAATAACTGAATGATCCCCATGTCTTTCTCTTCCAGGGGTCCAATGCCAGGACCGAGTGGATCAAAAGCCTGTGGAAGTCATCAAAGAAGGAGAGGATTCCACCATCTCCTGTCAGTTCAGCTCCAATAACGTCTATAGCATGCACTGGTACAGGCAATATCCAGGAGTAGGCCCTGCGTTTCTCCTAACGGTTACATCGGTGGGATCGAAGACACATGAACACTTCAGTGCCTCTTTTGACAAGAAGGAGAAGGAGAGCCATTTAAGTATCACAAAGGTGCAGATGAAAGATGCTGTGGTCTATTTCTGTGGGGCCCAAGATCCACAGCAACACAAAGACATCTGCTGCCTGTACAAAAAAACCTCTAAGACTGAACAATTCTGCAAAGAGGAAATGAATCTCAGCTGGGGAATTGGGGATGTAGAGATGGACCATGTGTGAATACAACCTGCATTGGTATCAACAGGAAGGCAAGTCAAAGTATTCCACATGAACACTTCAGTGCCTCTTTCAACAAACAGAAGAAGGAGAGTCATGTTGTGACCCACGCCCAAGTAAGTAGTAGGAAAATCAGTCAGTGAAAAAACAAACTTTATTCGAACAGCTGAGAATTACTTCATTCCCAGCGTCGTTCAACTAAATTAAAGCAAATTCCTCCCAACACAAATTCCTCAGTCCTATCGGAAACCTTGGTCCAATTAGGCAAACTGCCAAAGGCCTTTCTTGGCAAATGTTCAGAAGTCACAGATACAAAAATAAATACAAGACGTCGACGAAGAAGAAGATAAAGCTACCAACGTTGTTTTCCGGCAAAGCCCAAATGCCATTGCTGGTCTGTTTTAAGCCTTATGGGAAGGGCCAATCATCTCTTGGCCCTACTCCCGAGTTGTCCTCTTTGCTTGAGCTGCTCTTGCCTTCTGGCAGCTCTTCTCATGTGTGCATTAGGAACAGGCTCCTCCTGTTCCTCTGCCTCACTCCTATCAGTCTCTGAAGGCTCTGGAGTCTACACCTCATTCCCTGATGGCCCTGGCCCCATCTCTGCCTCTGACACAGTGCCCTCATCTGGACTTTCCCCAGCCTCTAGGACTGGCCCATGTTCTTCCTCAGCCTCATCGCTGTCCGACTCCGCTGCCAGCTCCGCAGGCTGCTGGCGGACCACAACAAGTCATTTCAGCATCGCAAAGGTGCAAATGAAAGATGCTGCAGTCTATTTATATGGAACCCAAGATCAGAGCATACAGAGGCACCTACTGCTCGTACGAAAACCCTCAAAGACAGAACAATTTTGTGCTGGGGAAATTGGGACGCAGAGTTGGACCTGCTGACCTGATGGGTTTCAAAAATTTTTACTACCGGTTCTGTGGATGTGGCTTGATGGGCATGGCATGGCATGGCTTGGTGGGCATGGCTTGGTGGGCATGGCAGGGGAAGGTTACTGCAAAATCCCCATTTTTCTCCCGATCAGCTGGGACTTGGGAGGCAGAGAGTTGATGGGGGCGAGGCCAGTCAGAATTTTTACTACCGGTTCTCCGAACTCCTCAAAATTTCTGCTACCAGTTTTCCAGAACTGGTCAGAACTTGCTGAAACCTACCTCTGCTGCTGACCCAGAACAAACTGTGTGTGTGTGTGCCACCTGCATTCGTGTCAATCGTAAAGTGAAAAAGAAACATTCATAGTGTTGCAATGTGGAGGAAAAAGAGACAGATGTAAGATTGGCATTCCCACCATTTGCAAAGCTCAAATACATTGGGGTTCCTTCTGGATAGAAGCTACATCCTTATTCATCACCCCAAAACATTGTCCCTGGGATTAATCTGATATTTGATTTGATAATAAATAAATAAATAAACCTACGAATAGTGTGAAGTCATTTCCTTTATTGATGGGACTGGTACTTTCTGGTTTTTTTCCCTTTATTTATTTATTTAGTTAAATTTATATGCCGCCCTTCTCCCGAAGGACTCGGGGCGGCTCACAAAAGGTTAAAAACCGAAGAACAATAAAAAAAATATATAATTAATTTAGCATAATTAAAATCCCACAATTTAAAACCCATATTAAAACCAATTAAAAACACCCCGCAGATCAGATGAGTTGTTTAAAAAGCCACACCTTTAGGTCCTTGCAGAAGGAGCGAAGGTCGGGAGCCATTCGGAGCTCAGTGGGTAAGGCATTCCAGAGGGTCGGCGCGCTCACCGAGAATGCCCTCATCCTGGGCGCCATCAGCCATTTGAAGTGTCCATTATCATTTGAAGTGTCTTCCATTTGGTCACGACACTTTTGTTTCTTCTCATTGCTTAGAGGTTTTTGAGAGCCAAGAGGTTTATAACTCTTGCAAAGAATTCAACACAATTATCCTACAGTAGGGGCCAATGAAAATCAGATGACATTGTCTAAAGTTCTAACAGAACTTGCTTTTGTTGAGTCCCACTCAAGATAGGTTGGTCTAGAGCTTCTTAATTCCCCACTAGCCATGTTGGAGCTAATAATAATTGAAGAATTATTGAGAATAATGCACTCTGCAAGTACTTATCAACAATTACTAAGCAGGGGTGAAATCCAGCAAGTTCTGACAGGTTCTGGAGAACCGGTAGCGGAAATTTTGAGTAGTTCGGCGAACCGGCAAATACCACCTCTGGCTGGCCCCAGAGTGGGGAGGGAATGGAGATTTTGCAATATCCTTCCCCCAGGAGTGGGGAGGGAATGGTGATTTTGCAGTATCCTTCCTCTGGAGTGGGGTGGGAATGAAGATTTTGCAGTATCCTTCCCAAGCCACGTCCACCAAGCCACACCACAACAAGCCACGCCCACAGAACCGGTAGTAAAATAAATTGAATTTCACCCCTACTTTAAAGGGTCTCCCCTTCCTAAACAATCTGGACATTGGACATTGAGGATTTTATGAACTATATTCTGTAGGGGCAATTTGACAGCATTCTTCCTCAGAAAAGAATTCAGGGATGCTTAGTTTGAAAAAAATAGAACCATGGAGTATGTGGTCCTTTCCTAAAAGTCATATTGTCTTCCTCTTGAATTGGACTCTTTTTGATTTCAAAGTGAATGACTATTTAATCTTGTCATCATTCCTATCACCCATCTCCTCCCATTTATGACTAAATGACTGTAACCTTGTTGCTGGTATCCTTACAATTTATATTGACTGTTTCCTAATATGATTTGATTGCTTATTTGTTCCCTATGACTATTATTAGGTGTTTTACCTTATGATTCTTGACGAATGTATCTTTTCTTTTATGTACACTGAGAGCGTACGCACCAAAGACAAATTCCTTGTGTGTCCAATCATACTTGGCCAATAAAATTCTATTCTATTCTATTCTATTCTATTCTATTCTATTCTATTCTATTCTATTCTATTCTATTCTATTCTACTCTACTCTACTCTACTCTACTCTACTCTACTCTACTCTACTCTACTCTACTCTATTGTAGTGTATTGTATTGTATTCTTTGTTGTAGTGTTAAAAAAAATATCTGCCAGTTAAACTTAAATCCTGCAAATTTTGATGTGGTCTCATCCAAGTTGGGCAGATCCGACGTATTATTTGGTGGTGCCAAACCAGATCAGCCAAAGTTATTTGGTGCTGCCACTTTCTACAACAGGTAGGTTCTCATTAGCTCTTCCGATGTAAATTATGACTATTTGTAGTTTTCTCACTAGATGGCACTCATTTTCCTTTTGTTCCTTTACAGAGGGAGGTTTAGTTTACAGCTGAAGATGTTATTTTTCTTCCCTCTTTTAACCACAAGGCCGCTTTTAAAATTCATTAGATGGAGAAAGCAAACAGCAGCCTTGAAAAGAGAGAAAGTGACTTGGTTTGAAAAAGGAGAATCTGCATCGTTGCCTTCCCTATTTCTCCTGGACGGGTGAGACTCCAGCCAAAGCATGGATACCTTTAGAAGGTTCTCAAGAACTTGGAAAGCTCAATGGAGGACACTTCTCATTGGATTATTCATTCTGTGTAAGTGAAAATATTCTAAGAATGTTGATGAGGTTTCTATTCGAGCTTTATTTTCTACAGCTCAGGGAAGCATAGATAATGTTCCCACCTCCTATTTTCCTCATAACACCAATCCTGGGAGTTGGGTTGGGCTGAAAAAAAGTGCTCCGTTCAGATTTCATGCTGAAGAAGGATTAGAACGTACCTTCTCTGGCTTCTAGTCTTGTTCCTTAGTTACTTAATCCAGCTGTCTCTCTTGGAAAGAAGATGAGAGCTGTTCCTACCGTGTTTCCCCGAAAATAAGACCTTGTCTTATATTTTTTTTTTTGAACCCTGAAATAAGTGCTTGGCCTTATTGCCATACATTCAAAAGCCCGATTGGGCTTATTATCAGGGGATGTCTTATTTTGGGAGAAACAGGGTAGTCCTAACCCGAATCCCAGCAAAGCAAGGAATAAGGGAGACCTTGGTGCTCTCTGAGCTTGGTGGCTTTCTTCCCAAGGAAATAATCATTTTTCTTTTCTTTTCTTTTCTTTTCTTTTCTTTTCTTTTCTTTTCTTTTTTCTTTTCTTTTCTTTTCTTTTCTTCTCAGTCTCCAACTTGGATGCCCAAGTGATCCAAGTACCTGCAAAGCTGGAAGTTCAAGAAGGAGGCTCTTTCACTCTGAACTGCAACTCCTCCATCCAGTACCAGCCCTATTTTTGGTACCAACAGCTGCCTGGAGCGCCTCCATCTCTCATCCTATCTATACATTCTCAAGGAAGCCAGAATGATAAAGGTTTTGTGGCGAAGTACTTGGAGAAGGGGAAAGAAAGTCAGCTGCATCGCCGTACAGCTCAGCTTCAAGATTCAGGAAGCTACTTCTGTGCTGTACAAGACACAGTGATGTAGGAAGGAGCCACCTCCCAACCGAAACCTCAGTTCTTCTGGATCTGTATTCTTTGTGCTTCTCTGATGCACATGTTCCTCTGCTTTGGTTGGTGCTGATGAAAATAGAAAGTCTCTCATTTATTGATGGGGCTGGTACTTTCTATTTTTTTCTTTATCATTTCTGGTATCTTCCATTGAGTCAGGTCACTGTTGTTTCTTCACATTGCTAAAAGCTTTTTTTATGAGTCCAGAGGTTCTTGCTCCTCCTCTTCCCACTCCTCCTCCTCCTCCTCCTCCTCCTCCTCCTCCCCCCCCCCCCCCCCCCCCCCCCCCCCCCCCCCCCCCCCCCCCCTCCTCCTCCCCCTCCTCCTCCTCCTCCTCCTCCTCCTCCTCCTCCTCCTCCTCCTTCTCCTCCTCCTCCTTCTTCCTGGGTGATGAGATGGTTCTATTCAGTGCCCCCAGTTCACACCAGTTCTATAGAACCAGTAGTAAAACTGGCAGGAGGCTCCGCCCACCGACCCCGACATCATCAAAACACTTCTGCACATGTGCAGAAGAGTGCATGTGTGTGTGAGCAAGCAAAGCAATCACGTGTGCACGGCCCCGCTGCAAACCGGTAATAAAGGTAAGTAGAACCCACCCCTGGTTCTATTTCTTCCTACCTTCCTACCTTCCTGCCTTCCTGTCTTACTGCCTTCCTGCCTTCCTACCTTCCTACCTGCCTGCGTTCCTACCTTCCTACCTTCCTGTCTTACTACCTTCCTGCCTTCCTGCCTTCCTACCTTCCCACCTTCCTACCTTTGCCTTCCTGCCTTCCTACCATCCCACCTTCCTACCTTCCTGCCTTCCTGCCTTCCTACCTTCCCACCTTCCTACCTTCCTGCCTTCCTGCCTTCCTGCCTTCCTACCTTCCTACCTTCCTGCCTTCCTGCCCTTCCTGCCTTCCTGCCTTCCTGCCTTCCTACCTTCCTACCTTCCTGTCTTACTGCCTTCCTTTCTTTCTTGTATCAACTTTTGAAGTGGCCTCCATTTGGTCAGGTCACTGCTGTTTCTGTACATTGCTTATATTTTTCATGAGAGTCCAGAGTTTTATAACCTTCGCAAAGAACTCAACACAATTATCTTACAGTAACGGTCAATGAGAATCAGATGAGGTTATCTAAAGTTCTAATGGAACCTGCTTTTGTTGAATCTCACCCAAGATGGGTTGGGCTACAGCATCTTAATTCCCCACGATCCATGTCAGAGCTATTAATAATGGAAGAATTATTGAGAATGATGGACTCTGTATTGTCCCCTATTAGGAAAGGCTAAATATTTATCTACAAATCCTACCGTGTTTCTCCGAAAATAAGGCCCTGTCTTATATATATATATATATTGAACCCTGAAATAAGCGCTTGGCCTTATTGCCATGCGCTCAAAAGCCCGATTAGTCTTATTATCAGGAGATGTCTTATTTTGGGGAAAACAGGGTATGTATAATTGCTTTAAATGATCTGCCCTTCCTAAACAATCTGGGCATTGGACATTGAAGAGTTTATGAAATATATTCCAGAGGTAAAATTTGATAGCATTCTTTCTCAGAAGGAAATTCATGAATGCTTGTTTTCAGAAAAATGGAACCATGAAGGAAGTAAGCGTTTCCTAAAAGTCATGTTATCTTCCTCTTGAATTTGACTCTTTTTGATTTCAAAATGAATTATTTTGAAAGAAGTAATAAAGAAGAGTGTTAAAGAAAACACACAGAATTTTTTAAAAATATCTGCCAGTTTAATTTATTTCCTGCAAATTTATATTTGGTCTCATCCAAGATGGGCTGATCCGGTTTAGGTGGAACCAAATCAGACCAGCGAAAATCATTTGGTGCTACAAGAAGATCCAGAGACACTCTGAAAAGATGGGGCTATCTGGTGGCTTCTGCCCTTTGCAATTGTGGTGACATGAAGACAACAACACACACATATATATACCTGCCTTTTGTGTCCTGATCAGTGCACACTTGGGGACCTCATGGAAGTTTGACAGAACACAAACGTTGCTAGTTTCTAGGCAAGATCTGTTTAGCTTGTACAATAGTTTAATCTTGTATTTTATATTCTAATTTTTATGTTGCATGTTATGCTTTATTTTAATTGCGAGGCTACTGACCAGAGGTGGGTTTCAGCAGGTTCTGACCAATTCTGGAGAACTAGGAGCGGAAATTTTGAGTAGTTCGGAGAACCAGTAGTAAAAATTCTGACTGGTCCCACCCCATCTATTCTCTACCTCCCAAGTCCCACCTGACTGGGAGGAAATGGGGATTTTGCAGTAACCTTCCCCTGGATTGGGGTGGGAATGGAGATTTTACAGTATCCTTCCCTTGCCACACCCAACAAGCCACGCCCACCAAGACATGCCATGCCCACCAAGCCACACCCACAGAACCGGTAGTAAAAAAAATTGAAACCCACCACTGTTTCTGATGCAAATAAATAGAAACAAGCATTTGGTGCAGCCACTTTCTGCAACTGTTATGCCATCAGGAACTCTTCAAAGCTATCATCGTGACTATTTCTAGTTTTCTCACTAGATGGCACTCATTTCGCTTTCATCCCTAACAGAGGGAGGTTTGGTTACAGGCCAAGGTGTTTTTTTCTTCCTCTAGGCTTGGTTAACCATAAAGCCTTTTTTTTTTTTAATCGTTAGATGGAGAAAGCAAACAGCAGCCTTGCCAAGAGAGAAAGTGACTCAGTTTGAGAAAGGAGAATCTGCATTGTTGCCTTCCATGTTTCTCCTGGATGAATGAGACTCTAGCCGAAGCATGGATACCTTTAGAATGTTCTCAAGAACTTGGAAAGCCCAATGGAGGACACTTCTCATTGGATTATTCATTCTGTGTAAGTGCAAATGGTCCAAGAATTGGGATGAGATTTCTATTTGAGTTTTATTCTGTACCGCTTGTGGAAGCAGAGATTATGTTTCCACCTCCTATTGTCCTGATAAAATTGATCCTGGGAGTTGGGTTGGGCTGAAAAAAGTGCTCTGTTCAGATTTCATGCTAAAGAAGGACTAGAACCTACCTTCTCATGGCTTCTAGTCTTGTTCCTTAGTCATTTAATCCAACTGTCTCTCTTGGAAAGAAGATGAGAGCTGTTCCTACTACGTTTCCCCCAAAATAAGACCCTGTCTTATATATTTTTTTGAATGCTGAAATAAGTGCTTGGCCTTATTGCCATGCACTCAAAAGCCTGATTGGGCTTATTATCAGGGGATGTCTTATTTTGGGGGAAACAGGGAAGTCCTATCACGAATCCTGGCAAAGCAAGGAATAAGGGGGACCTTGGTGCTCTCTGAGCTTGGTGGCTTTCTTTCTGGGGAAATCATCCTTTTCTTTTCTTTTCTTCTTTTCTTTTCTTCTCAGTCTCCAGCTTGGATGCCCAAGTGATCCAAGCACCTGCAAAGCTGAAAGTTCAAGAAGGAGGCTCTTTCACTCTGAAGTGCAACTCCTCCATCCAGTACCAGCCCTATTTTTGGTACCAACAGCTGCCTGGAACACCTCCATCTCTCATCCTATATATACATTCTCAAGGAAGCCAGAATGATAAAGGTTTTGTGGCGAAGTACTTGGAGAAGGGGGAAGAAAGCCACCTGCATCGCCGTACAGCTCAGCTTCGGGATTCAGGAAGCTACTTCTGTGCTGTACAAGACACAGTGGTGAAGGAAGGAGAAACCTCCCAACCGAAACCTCAGTTCTTCTGTGTCTGTATTCTTTGTGCTTCTCTGGTGCACATGTTCCTCTGCTTTGGTTGGTGCTGATGAAAATAGGAAGTCTCTCATTTATTGATGGGGCTGGTACTTTCTTTCTTTCTTTTTTTTCTTTATCATTTCTGGTATCTTTTTTTTTTTTAATTTGATTTATATGCCGCCTTTCTCCGAAGACTCAGGGCGGCTTACAATGTGCTCAGCAATAGCCTTCATCCTTTTGTATATTTATACAAAGTCAGCTTATTGCCCCCACAAACTGGGTCCTCATTTCACCTACCTTAGAAAGGATGGAAGGCTGAGTCAACCTTGAGCCTTGGCGAGATTCGAACCCTGCAGTAATTGCAGGCAGCTGGTCTTAATAAGCTTAATAACAGGGTGCCTTAAACCCCTGTACTACCAAGGCTCTTCTTCTCAATCTTCCATTGAGTCAGGTCACTGTTGTTTCTTCACATTGCTAAAAGCTTTTTTCATGTGAGTCCAGGGGTTCTTGCTCCTCCTCTTCCTCTTCCTCTTCCTCCTCCTCCTCCTCCTCCTCCTCCTCCTCCTCCTCCTCCTCCTTCTTCCTGGGAGATGAGATGGTTCTATTCAGTGGTGGGTTGCCCCCGGTTCGCACCAGTTCTATAGAACCAGTAGTAAAACTGGCAGGAGGCTCTGCCCACTGACCCCGACATCATCAAAAACACTTCTGCACATGTGCAGAAAAGTGCACGCACGTGTGAGCAAGCAAAGCAATCACGTTTGCACGGCCCCGCTGCAAACCAGTAATAAAGGTAAGCAGAACCCACCCCTGGTTCTATTTCTTCCTGCCTTCCTGTCTTACTGCCTTCCTGCCTTCCTTCCTGCCCACCTTCCTGCCTTCCTGCCTTCCTACCTTCCCGCCTTCCTGTCTTCCTGCCTTCCTGTCTTCCTGTCTTCCTGTCTTCCTGTCTTCCTGCCTTCCTGCCTCCCTACCTTCCCGTCTTTCCACCTTCCTTCCTTCCTTCCTGCCTTCCCACCTTCCTGCCTTCTTGTCTTACTGCCTTCCCGCCTTCCTACCCGCCTTCCTGCCTTCCTGCCTTCCTACCTTCCAACCTTTCTGCCTTCCTGCCTTCCTACCTGCCCGCCTTCCTGCCTTCCCGCCTTCCTGCCTTCCTGCCTTCCTGCCTCCCTGTCTTCCTTTCTTCCTATCTTCCTGTCTTCCTGCCTTCCTGCCTTCCTGCCTTCCTGCCTTTCTACCTTCCTGCCTTCCTGCCTTTCTACCTTCCTTTCTTTCTTGTATCAACATTTGAAGTGGCCTCCATTTGGTCAGGTGACTGCTGTTTCCGTTCATTGCTAATATTTTTCATGAGAGTCCAGAGTTTTATAACCTTTGCAAAGAACTCAACACAATTATCTTACAGTAATGGTCAATAGAATCAGATGCAGTTATCTAACAGAACCTGCTTTTGTTGAATCCCACCCAAGACGGGTTGGGCAACAGGTTCTTAATTCCCCACGATCCATGTCAGAGCTATTAATAATGGAAGAATTATTGAGAATGATGGACTCTGTATTGTCCCCTATTAGGAAAGGCTAAATATTTATCTACAAATCCTACTGTGTTTCTCCAAAAATAAGACCCTGTCTTATATATATATTTGAGTGCTGAAATAAGTGCTTGGCCTTATCGCCATGCACTCTAAAGCCTGATTGGGGGATGTCTTATTTTGGGGGAAACAGAAATAGTCCTAGCCCAAATTGTGGCAAAGCAAAGAATTAGGGAGACCTTAGTGCTCTCTCACCTTGGTGGCTTTCTTCCCAAGGAAATCATCCTTTTCTTTTCTTTTCTTTTCTTTTCTTTTCTTTTCTTTTCTTTTCTTTTCTTTTCTTTCCTTTTCCTTTTCCTTTCCTTTCCTTTTCTTCTCAGTCTCCAACTTGGATGCCCAAGTGATCCAAACACCTGCAAAGCTGGAAGTTGAAGAAGGAGGCTCTTTCACCCTGAAGTGCCACTACTCCATCCAGTACCAGCCCTATTTTTGGTACCAACAGCTGTCTGGAGCGCCTCCGTCTCTCATCCTATCCATATCTATGAAATTTATGAAATTTATCAAATTTATGAACAATTTGATTCACTTTGCAATCTACAATCTAGCTGCAGGAACCCCATGGACCGCCAATCAGTTATATTCTGTAGAATTGTTAAACCAGATCCCTTGTGGAGGAATTAATTGCTTCCAATAATCCACATGAAAGGAATTTCATGAATAAATAAAAGGCATAAGTGGACAGGATCGTGGGAAGGTTGAGTGCCACCATGTGTGTACTGGACCCGTGTCCCTCCTGGCTAGGTTATGTGGCCCGTGAGGTGACACGGGATTGGATCTAGGCAGTAATAATGGCATCCTTGGATGAGGGGATCTTCCCTGCCACCCTGAAAGAGGCGGTGGTGAGACCCCTCCTCAAGAAACCTGCCTTTCATCCAACTATATTGGATAACTTTTGTCCGGTCTCCAACCTTTGCTTTGTAGCGAAGGTTGTTGAGAGCGTGGTGGCATGGCAGCTCCCATTGGCCCTGGAGGATACAGGCTACCTAGATCCGTACCAATCGGGTTTCAGGCCGGGGTACAGCATGGAGACGGCATTGGTCGCACTGGTGGATTATCTTTGGAGGGCTCGGGACAAGGGATTTTCCTCTGTTCTGGTCCTCTTGGATCTTTCGGCGGTGTTTGATACCATCGACCATGGTATCTTGCTGCGACAGCTTGAGGGGTTGGGAGTGAGAGGCACCATTCTATGGTGGTTCTCCTCCTATCTCAGGCCGTATGCAAGCGGTGTTGGCAGGGGGGCAGAGGTTGGCTATGAGGCCCCTCACTTGTGGGGTGCCCCATGGGTCGGTTCTCTCGCCTCTCCTGTTCAACATCTATATGAAGCCATTTGGGAAGATCATCCGTGGTTTTGGGGTGCGGTATTATCACTACACTGATGATACCAGCTTTTTATATCCACCCCAAACCAGCCCAGTGATGCCCTTGACGTGATGTCCCGTTGCCTGGAAGTGGTACAGACCTGGATGGGGAGGAACAGGCTTCGACTCAACCCTGCGAAGACCGAGTGGCTGTGGGTACCGGCATCTTGTTCCCCCTGTGGATAGTGCCTGCAACTTGGGAGTCCTCCTGGATTCACGGTTGTCTCTGGAAGACCATGTGATGACTGTGACCAGGGGGGCATTTTCCCAGGTTCGCCTTGTGCGACAGTTGCGCCCTTACTTGGACCAAGATGCCCTACGCACGATTACTCATGCGCTGGTCCCCTCCCATCTTGACTACTGCAACGCTCTCTACCTAGGGCTGCCCTTGAAGACCACTCAAAGCCTTCAGCTGGTGCAGAATGCGGCCGCACAGGTTGTGATGGGAGCATCCCAACACCCCCATGTTATACCCCTCCTGCGCGGCTTGCATTGGTTACCGGTTGCCCTTCGGGTGAGGTTCAAGGTGCTGGTTATCACCTATAAAGCCCTTCAAGGCCTAGGCCCGGGATATCTGTTGGACCCCCTGCAGCCAGCGACAATCCCCAATCGCCCGGTGCATTCCCACAGACAGGGCCTCCTCAGGGTGCCATCGGCCAGACAGTGTCAGCTGGCGACCCCCAGGGGGAGAGCTTTCTCTGTGCCCGCACCCACCCTCTGGAACCAACTTCCGTTGGAGCTCCGGATGGCCCCTGACCTTCGCTCGTTCCGCCGCGAGTTGAAGACCTGGTTGTCCCATACCCTGGACTGATGGGGGGGGCGGTTAATGAATTTTAAACTGTTTTAAACTGGGTTTTAACTATATCATTTTAATAAGGAATTATGCATTTTACTGTTGTGAGCCGCCCTGAGTCCTCGGAGATAGGGCGGCATATAAATTGCATAAAATAAAATAAAATAAATAAATAAATAAATAATTGATGTCAATTGAGTTCCGAAACTCAACAGGAAGGAATCTCTCCCAAGTATCACCTACTATGTCAAGTTGCCATATTGAGATCTGCAACCTAAGGTCCTCCAGGCTTTGTTACCTGCCAAGGTTTCCTTATGGAATGTTTGTTCTTCTCATAGAATGTTCAATTTTTCACATGGATTGAACCAACCTTGAGGGTTTGGGGGTGGATGGATGGGTGGATGGGGTGCTGATGAGAAATTTGGAAGGAAATAGGTCAGGTCCAGATGTTTCAAAATTTCAAAACCCATTACTTAGAAATGCCCGTAGCACTTTTGGTTTGCCTGGATTGGATCGTTCCCATTTTGGGAGGGGAAGAAACAAGAGTATTTTAGGCCTGCCAGGAAATGGAACATTCCAAAGATAATGGTTTGCAAAAAAAAATTAAATTCAAAATGTTATAATCAATATATATTCCAAGGCGGCTTCTCCTTCTCCTTCTCCTTCTCCTTCTCCTTCTCCTTCTCCTTCTCCTTCTCCTTCTCCTTCTCTTCCTACTCCTCCTTCCCTTTCCTCTGCCTCCTCGCCTTCCCCCTCCCCTTTCTCCTCCCCCTACCCCTTCTCCTTCTCCTCCTCCTTTTCCTCCTCCACCTCTTCCTTCTCCCCCACCCCCTCCCCCTCCCCCTCCTCTTCTTCTTCTCCTTCTCCTTCTTCCTCTTCTTCCTGGGAGATGCAGTGGTTCCTTTCTTTCTTTCTTTCTTTCTTTCTTTCTTTCTTTCTTTCTTTCTTCCTTCCCCTTTTTCTTTCACTCTTTCTTCCCCTCTTTCTCTTTCTTCTTTCTCTCTCTCTTCCTTCCTTCCTTCCTTCCTTCCTTCCCCTCTTCCCCTCTTTCTTCCCCTCTTTCTCCCCCTCTTTCTCTCACTCTTTAGGCAGTCCCCAAAAGTAGACTGCAGATAGCTATTCTGATGGCATTGTGTAAATTCAGTGGTGCAAATCTCCAAAACTTATTGAGTTTCATTGATTGAAGGAAATTGATATGGCCACCCAACTCAATCAAGGTGTCTCCAGGTAGTGGTATGTATCTCAATAGTAGTAACCATGAGAAGGATCTCACAGTCCTAGTGGGCAATCATATAACTATGAGCCAGCCGTGTGCTGCAGCTGCCAATAAGGCCAATACAATTCTAGGATGCATTAACAGAGTGATAGAATCAAGATCACGTGAAGTGTTAATACCACTTTATAATGCCTTGGTAAGGCCACACTTGGAATACTGCATCCAGCTTTGATCGCCATGTCACTGCGTTTTTTTATTTACCAGCTGAGCTCTCATTTCTGGACTATCAGACTTTCTGTAGCTTGCCAAGAATCCTTATCAGTAAGATAAACTGCGCATGTCCTCCACCCACATTCCTTCTCACACTTTTTCTTTCTTCTCTTGCCAAGAGACATCCGGCTGCTGAGAAGTAGCCGATAAGAACTTTTGCAAAAATGTAACAATTAAATTTTAGATAGTTAGATGTTTTATTTTCTTTATAACAAATAAATGAGTTTTCTTAGAAGATATATCTTCCGGTTTGTTTTCTTAAAGTATGCTGGCAAGGAAAGGTCTCGATCCGCCCCTCTTAATCAAGGTGTGATTATCCCAAAGGCAGAATGGGATTAATCAGCACCCTGACACGCCATGATGTAAAAAAGATGTTGAGATTCTAGAAAGAGGGCAGAGAAGAGCAACAAAGATGATTAGGGGACTGGAGACTAAAACAGATGAAGAACGGTTGCAGGAACTGGGTATGTCTAGTTTAATGAAAAGAAGGACTAGGGGAGACATAATAGCAATGTTCCAATATCTCAGGCGCAGACACAAAGAAGAGGGAGTCAACATATTTTCCAAAGCACCTAAAGGCAGGACAAGAAGCCATGGATGGAAACTAATCAAGGAGAGAAATAACATAGAACTAAAGAGAAATTCCCTGAGAGTTAGAACAATTATTCCGTGGAACAACTTGCCTCCAGAAATTGTAAATGATCCAACAGTGGACGTTTTTAAGAAGGGATTGGACAACATTTGTCTGAAATGGTATAGGGTTTCCTGCCTAAGCAGGGGGTTGGACTAGAAAACCTCCAACTTGGACTAGGACAGGGGTCCCCAATCTTTTGGATCTCAGGGATCATCAAGTTCATAATTTTAAATCTCGTGGACCACTATTACAAATCCAGTGCGCTGCTTGCTGAAGCGTCTGGACACCCAGTGATGGGTTGGGGTCCTTCAGGCACTCTCCCTCCTCTCTCTTTCTCTTTCTCTCTCTCTCCCCCTTCTCTTTCCCTCTCTCTCCCCTCTTTCTCTCTCTCTCCCACTCTTTCTCTCTCATTCTCTCTTTCCCTCTCTCTCTCCCCTCTCTCATTCTCTCTCATCTCTTTCTCTCTCCCTCCTCTTTCTCTCTCTCCCCCACTCTCTCATTTTGATTCTCTCATTCTGATTCTCTCTCTCTCTGATTCTCTTTCATTCTCTGTCTCTTTCTCTTTCTCATTCTGATTGTCTCTCATTCTCTCTCTGATTCTTTATCTCTTTCTTTCTCTCTCTCATTCTCTCTCACTTTCATTCTGTTTGTCTCTCTGATTCTCTCTGATTCTCTCTTTTATTCTCTTTCTCTCTCTCTCATTCTCTCTCATTCTGATTCTCTCTCATTCTCTCTCTGTCTGATTCTCTCTCTTTCATTCTCTGTCTCTTTCTCTCTCAATTTCTCTCCTTCTGATTTTCTCTCCTTCTGATTCTCTCTTTCATTCTCTCCCTTTCTCTTTCTCTTTCATCCTCTGTCTCTTTCTCTCTCTGTGTTATTCTGTCTCTCTCTCTCTGATTTTGTCTCTGATTCTTTCTCTCATCTTTCTTTATCTCCCCGTCTCTTTCTCTCTCTCATCTCTCTCTCCCCCTTTTTCTTTCTTTCTCTCTCTCTGCCACTCTTTCTCATTCTCTCTCTCTCTTTCATTCTCTCTCTGATTCTCTTGCTCTCTCTCATTCTCTTTCTCTCTCTCATCTCATGGGTCAGCCAGTGTCTTGGGGCTGAGGGGAAGTCAAGCATCTCCCTGAGAGACTGAGGTGCACGGAGCACCAATGAGGGCTGGAAGAAACGTGGGCAAGATCCAGCAAGAGATGGAGCTTCAGTCCAACTCTGGAATATGGAACGAGTCTCCATCCCCCATCTTTCCCTTCTCAGGCCAGGTGAGGAGTGACTGGGAAGGGAGTGCGAGGGGCAGGGACAGCCACTGGTGGGTTCAGCTGACAGGAAGTTACAGCAGAGGGAAGAAACAGCCCGGGGTTGCCACCACCCGTTACTTCGGCCCACCTGCACTGCCACGCCCCCTTGCACCATTACCTCATTCCAGCCAGCGAGGGCTGTGCTGCAAGTTGCACCAACCTCCTCTATGGTGGAGATTTACAAACCCACCATGAGCTGCCTGGCCAGTCCCATATTCCAGAGCTCTAGTCACAGGACTGGTCATTGCTCATCCCGGAGTAGCTCCTCCACCCGGGTGCACCGCAGACCGCCAAAATTTTCTCACGGACCACCGGTTGGGAACCACTGGACTAGAAGACCTCCAAGCTCCATTTCAACTCTTTTTGCTCTACTCTACTCTACTCTACTCTACTCTACTCTACTCTACTCTACTCTAGTTCTGATTTAGACAAATAAAAACTCAAAATAATCCCGAATAAACTTCCATGCCTACAACAAAAAAAAATCAGTTGGTGGGCTCCAAATCATGCTGGAGTTTATATTCAACTCTGAGCTATACATATTCTTGCTATTGCAAACACTAAAACTGCATTTATTTATTTCTTAGCAGGTCTAGTGCTCCTTCCAAAGGAACCTCAATAAAATGTGAGAAGCACTCTGGTTGAAAGCTATAGAGGTAGACGTTATACAGCAGGGTTGTCCTGCTGTCCAGAGCCAGCCCACAGGGTGTTTAGATTTGGCCCGCAGGGCCGCTCTGGTGTTGTGGTCCGCCAGCAGCCTGCGGAGTTATAGAGGTAGACATGATACAGCATCTGCTCTCTCCTGTTGCACCAGTCAAAAGGTCCTTCAAGTTCATAGCTAAAAGGAGAATGCATACCAAAGCCTAAACTGGCCCCAAAGACCTGGACATCTACGACCATATCATCAACCCTCTTAGCAATGGAAGACTAAAATGTCCCAGGAAGAAGCCCGAAAACACTGCTTATTTTAAAGCTGACTTTAAAATGTATCTGCTATGGGTTTGGGATGAGATGACAATGGCATGAGGACATCACATAAACTGTTTTTCAGGGCACCTGGGATGAACCTTACAATCAAATGACTCAATAGGAAATGTTGGGGATTACAGGCCAATTTGGATGAATGTGGGTTTTTTCACCTAACCCTCCTTCTCCCCACAAGAGGGCAATAGACTACAACCAGATTCTAGTAAAGATCTGTTAACTGGGAAAACTTGTAAAAATTTTATGGGGCTCTTTTACCCTCCTCTTGACTCCACTGGTTCTTTGAACTTCCCCCTGATAGGACAGATCATAAATCTCAAGAAATGCTTGAGTGAAAACTCCCATTACTTGAAGTAGAAATAACAATCCTAATATCTGGTGTCAAAAGGATGGAGAGCAATATCTTCAGGGAGAGATATATCTTCTTGGCATGCTGGGAAGCAAAGTAAGAAGACATGAGTCTTGCCAGTTTGAGTATGAGTTTGAGTTTATTTAGATTTATATACTGCCCTACTCCCGAAGGACTCAGGGTGGTGAACAGCCATAGATAAAACAGATACACTATAAAATTTAAAAAACAATTTAAAAAAGTTTCCCTTTCCCACAGTCCTATCAAATGAGTAACGTAGGCTAATAATGTCCTGAAGGTGAGCTTGACCTCTGGTGCTGAAGGGGAAACAGGCTCCAGTTTTCTTGGCAAAGTTAGGAACATGATTTGCTTCATTTTCAGGATATTTGTTCTACCTCCTAGTGCAACCTAGAACTCAGAGATCTCCTTGTGTTTTCCCACCGAGGTAGCAACCCAGCCTAATGCTGAGTAATTTCCCACTCCCAGCAAGGATGGAAAAATGCATTTTGGGGTATTCAAGTGCTGTCCTACAAGTGATGGCTGGAAGGGAAAAAGGAGGAATGAAGATCATGTCCTTTGACCTCTCTTTCCATGTTTAGCGTTTTGGAGTAGACCCGTGTCTGGTGGGAATCAGATTGATGCAAAGATGTATCATAGCATTGGAAAGTTAGATGCAGGATGTGAAATCTCCTGTGAGTTTGCCCTCTTGTACACTTCTGCCTTCTTATATGGCCTGACGGAGGTGCAGCCTTTCCTCCAGATCCCTGAATAGCAGCTTCCAACCCTTGTGACCAATAGTCCCATTGTCATTCCCAATAACCCTGGAACACAACTACAATGATTTGGCAGATGGGCCTTGTAATCACTCACATATAGATACTCTCTATTTGGAACAAGCTGTGTGGTTAGAATTCCATAAAGAAACCCAGAATCCTTGCTTAAATTCCAAGTACAAAGAGAAATCAGAAGACCCAAAGGATCCTTTCTTTAGAAGATGCTTTCCTCGATAAAGGTCAGTGAGGCTGAAAGGAAACCCACCGGAAGGATCCCAGTTGGATGCAACACTGACCATTTACCCCGTTTCTTATTTAATAATGATCACTCTTCACACATATGGTTGAGCTATTGACATATATTCCCTACCATGAATTATTTTAGCTAGAATACAACAGAGCCTCCTTCTTTCTCCAAGAGTATGAGTTAAGAGTATGAGTTAAGACAAAAGCTTCTATATTCTGGGTTTGTGGTGTGTTCTTCTACGTGAGTCAAAGAAAAGATGAGCAGATATCCAATCCCCAGAAGGTCTGAGCAGGAAGCCACACAGAAGACTGTGTCTGGTTTCTCACTTTCCTGTGTTTCTGGGGACATATTTGTCCTCCCTTTCGAAGATAAAAGAAGAAGAATGGGAGATCTGAGGAGCAGGATTGTTGCCTTGCTGTTGGCCATCTCCACAGGTATCCTTTTCATCTTATTTTTTTCATTTATTGATGGAAATCATGTTTATGCTTACTTTTGTGTTTTTTTTTTGAAGAAAGGTCTTCTCAAAAGAGAAGATGACTTTTTCAAAAGCCATAAAAAGAAAACCAGCAAAAGCATCCAGGAGAAAATTCATTTACTTAAACACTTAAGAGTGTAAAGGTAGGATTACAAACTTTGAATGACAATGGCAATTTATGCCTGTTCTCCCTTATTGATTCCTTTGTAAGTCATCTGCGAATTGCAGCAGAATGTCCAAGACAGAGAAATCGTTCAAAGGTTTTTTTACAGTCAACTGAATGATCCCCGTGTCTTTCTCTTACAGGTGTCCAATGCCAGGACCGAGTGGATCCGAAGCCTGTGGAAGTCGTCAAAGAAGGAGAGGATTCCACCATCGCCTGTCACTTGGATGCCAACACTCTCAATATAATGCACTGGTACAAGCAATATCCAGGAGAAGGCCCTGCGTTTCTCCTATCAGTTACAGCAACGGAATTGGAGAAACGCGGACACTTCAGTGCCTCTTTTGAGAAGCGGAAGGAAAGTCGGTTGAACATCACAAGAGTGCAGATGAAAGATGCCGCGGTCTATTTCTGCGGGGCCCGAGATCCACAGCAACACTAAGACACCTGCTGCCTGTACAAAAACCCTCTAAGGCTGAGCAGTTCTGCAAAGGGGAAATGAATCTCATCTGGGTAACTGGGATGCAGAGATGGACTAGCTGCATGTGGGTACAACCTGCATTAGTATCAACTGGAAAGTGAATCAAAGTATTTTAGAGTATTGCAAGAAAGAAGAAATATACCAGTTGGATAAGCCCACCATTGGCAAAAACCCTCTAAGGTCAAGCAGTTCTCTGCTCTCTTTCTTTCTTTCTTTCTTTCTTTCTTTCTTTCTTTCTTTCTTTCTACATTTGAAGTGGCTTCCATTGGGTCCAGTTCACTGCTGCTCCTTTACATGGCTTAGAGTTTTTTGTTTTTGTTTTTTGAGAGTCCAGAGGTTTATAACCCTTGCAAAGAACTCAACACAGTAGAGGTCAGTGAAAATCAGATGATTTTATCCAAAGTGCTAATAGAACTTGCTTTTGATGATTCCCACTCAAGATGGCATGGAGTACAGCTTCTTAGTCCCCCAAATCAAAACTAATAATAAATGAACAATCATTGAGTACAATGGAATCTGCAAGTATTTATCTACAAATCCTATGTGGAATTGCTTTAAATGACCTGCCTTTCCTAAACAACCTGGACATTGGACTTTGAGGAGTTTATGAACTATATTCCTTACGGGAAATTTGACATGACTCTTCCTCAGAAGAGAATTCGTGGATGCTCGGTTTGAGAAAAAAATGGAATTATGGAATAGATAATAATAATCCAGCCGATTGTCCTCTTAACAGCAGTCCTGGGAGTGTGGTTGGGCTGAAAAAAGTGCTCCGTTCAGATTTCATGCTAAAGAAGGACTAGAACCTACCTTCTCAGGGCTTCTAGTCTTGTTCCTTAGTCAATTAATCAAACTGTCTCTCTTGGAAAGAAGATGAGAGCTGTTCCTACCATGTTTCTCCGAAAATAAGACCCTGTCTTATATATAATACTGAAATAAGTGCTTGGCCTTATTGCCATGCACTCAAAAGCCTGATTGGGCTTATTATCAGGGGATGTCCTATTTTGGGGGAAACAGAAATAGTCGTAGCCCAAATCGTCCTAGCCCAAATTGTGCTAAAGCAATTGGAGCTTGGTGGCTTTCTTCCCAAGGATGTCTTATTTTGGGGGAAACAGGGTAGTCCTATCCCAAATCCTGGCAAAGCTAGGAATAAGGGAGACCTTGGTGCTCTCTGAGCTTGGTGGCTTTCTTTCTGGGGAAATCATCCTTTTCTTTTCTTCTTTTCTTTTCTTCTCAGTCTGCAGC